AAGATGCCAAATCCTGTTGGAAAATAAAATCCACTTAAGTGAGACACAACTGTGAATTCCATTATTGGGGAAAAAAGGCACCGCTGTGGATTCAAGTTGAATGCATGGTACTTATGGGATGTGTGTTTGCTCTGAAATGCAATCCTATCCATCCACACTCCACATAAGTGCTTGTGTGAAATTCAAATGCATTTATCTGAAGTGGAATGGGAGTCATTCCCTCTCTGTTCCCTTCAGGCTTAGACTCTAATAGCCTGGCAGGTCTTAGGTTCTCAGGCTGCTGGTGGATTTATGCTTCATAGATTGATAATGCAAAAATCATATGTATCTCACAGAGTGCAACACAGAATACACTCTCTCTAGTTTCATACATCTAAATAATCCCAGAGATACCAGCCCATGTCATGCAGACGTCTGTATGTGGTGGTTCTTGATGCACTGACACCAGCCTCAGTCCACTCCTTATGAAGCTCCCCTAGATTTCTGAATCGCCCTTGCTTGACAATCCTCTCAAGGCTGCGGTCATCCCTGTCACTTGTGCACCTTTTCTGGCCACATTCTTCCCGTCTTCTTAACACTCTGTTAATATACTTCCATACTGCGCTCTGTGAGCATCCAGCTTCTTTTGCAATTGGCTTTTGAGACTTTTCCAATGATGGTCGTCTGCACAACCGTCAAGTCAGCAGTAGTCCCCATGATTCTGAAGCCTACTAAGCCAGAGAGACAATTTCAAGGCTGAGGAAACCTTTGCAAGTGTTTTGTGTTAATTAGCTGACTAGATTGGGACACAGGGAGCCTATAGTGTTGAACTTTGTCATGATATTCTAATTTTGTGAAATACTGGATTTGGTTTTTTTTTGTCTTTAATCCATAATCATCAAAATTGAAACAAAAGGCTTGAAATATTTCACTTTGTGTGTAGTGAACTAATATAACAAGTTTCACTTTTTGAAACAAATTATTTTAATAAATGGACTTTCCCTCGGTATTCTAATTTTTTGGCACATACCTATAAAGCAAGACAGTGTTACTCACCAATGTATCCTCCATCAAAACTGAAGCGCTCATTCATACTCAACGTGAACATGTGCTAAAAGGAAAACAAAATTCTGTTCTTATCTGAAGCGCTGGAACAAATATCCACAAATCTAAAGCTGTCATGTGATGTAAATGATGTTTCATGCTCAGAGTCTTCAGTTATGAAACCAGATCACTTACAGGCTTGATGCCAGTCAGCATGCCCACATAACCGGCAAAGTTTGTTGACTTGAAAACGGTTTGATTCTTTCTCTGGAAGTCAAGGTTGACCACTAGAGGCTTCAGCCTCTCAGAAATGATCCATGACTTGTTTTTCACATCCCAGCTGTGAAGAGACAAGCTCATCTCATGAGATATTACTATACCAGATCTGAGTAAAAAATGGTAATAATCTTAAAAACTGAAATTCTTACCCCATAAATAATCCAAAATCCATATTTCTACCATGAACAAGGTTACCTGTAACAGGACAAAAGCAAAAAGAATTTCAGTCTCTCTTCTGTATCATGGTGGTGGTTCTGACCAGTACTCTGTCCACTCACCATTACTGTCTTCTGCAACAACTGATGTGCACACAGTAAACACCTCATAGAAGATGTTGAACAAAACAACTTCACCTAAATTATGGGGGGAAAAAAACTATACATGTATTAAAAAAAGAGATTGATGGGACATATCTCCTAAACAGTTGCTGAATGAAGAATTGTTAAGAGTTGTGTTTTCTTACCCAGAGGGATCCCTGAAACTGTGGCAATTCCTTTAATTTCCTCTTTAAATGGGTTAGGGAGTGTGTCCAGCATCCAAGGCTGCAGAACAGTGTGAAACAGGCTGCAGTCATGACAATAAGAAGACATCGTTCAGTGGAGAAGTGATACTCACCAGTGTAATGTCAACCAGCTCAACCAGCCTTCCACTGGGCACGAAAGCATTCGCCAAGTCTTTGATGGCTTGAATCATGTTGGCCAGCTTCAAACAAAAAGATATTTTAAAAAAAGTGACATTTTTACATTATACAACATTATTATAATGAATGTGACAGAGTTCTTACATATGTTTTCTTGTCAGTAATCACAGCCGTCCATCTCTCACTGGGCGGTAAGTCAAGGTTCAATGTGTACCAGCTGGCTGCTCCTCGGGACCTGATCAGGAATGAAAAGCTGTAAAACTGCAGCACAATTATGCATCATATTCACAACTTCAGAGTCACCGTGATTATCGGTTTTGAACCGAATTTGACGAGTTAAAAAGCAGCAGCTGATGCGCTACAGGCTAGCTCCATCTGAATAGCCAATCACTGCAATTAATTAGTGCCAACAACTTTAATAATTTAAGTCACCCATCAAGCAAAAATCCCCACATTTTCTGGGTCTCAGTTTGTCAGAGTTGAAGATTTCATGCCTTTCTCTGGCTTACATCACAGCAAAGCTGGTCAGATAAAATAAGCAATGATGATACCAACTGTATCAAATTTATCCATCTAACCATTCTATCATCTCTACCACTTATCCTGAAGAGGACTGCACTCATGGGCAGGGGGACGAATCCCAGTTGACTTTTGGGCCACCCTGGACAGGTCGCCAGTCTATCACAGGGCTGACAGAGACAGACAACCACACACACACTCACTCACACACACACACACACTCACTCACTCCTATGGGCAGTTTAGAGTTGCCAGTCAACCTAAGCTGCATGTCTTTGGACTGTGGGAGGAAGCTGGAGTACCCGGAGAGAACCCACGCAGGCATGGAGAACAAAATAAAGTGGTATAGATACAAGATGGATGCTCACATCTAACCTAACATATCCAACAATTTAGTATAGTGCTTCCACAGATTTGGGAGACTTGTAAGAGACAGATAAAAAAAAAAAAA